ATTTATCATCTATCAAGCCTCTTGTTGATAGAAGTTTGCATTCTGTTTTGTCGTACATTTAAGTTGCATTGGATTTCGAACTTGAAGTTGCATGCCTACGTAAGAACATAATCTGCTCAGATACTGCGGGTTCAATCAATTTGGTATATTTGAAGGAAATTATCTTTCCAAGTAGGCAGATATGTAAAAATTATATCCAAACATTTGAGACAATCATAAAATAAAATGGTCCAATGAGACTACCATAGGATCCGTGAACTTGCATGGTTATCATGTAGTGTACATATCAGCTGAATATACTTTCATGTGTACAGGTAGGCCCATCTGAGTGGATGTAGGAGCATAAAATAGAAATGAAGAGAGAATGAAAAGGGAGATATGAAGTCTATCGAAATTTCCTATAAAGTGGTACTGAATTCATCAAATTGTCACGACGGAAAACTGTGTGATGTTAATGGGTGCATATGACCCAGTTTCACTAGACTGAAATGCCTATTTATAAATGATAAAAGTTGGTCTTTTAACCTACCACCTGTTAATATCCATGGCCCCTGACCCACCCATTTGCCAGTTCTAGTCAGAAGCTTTTTCTCTAATAGCCTTGTAAATATGAACTTAATGCTTATCGTAAGTTGACTCTTAGGTACCAGGCTCTTGTTTCTCTTCTTTCTAAATACCTGTTTAACTTATACGTAAATTTTAGTCATGCACACACACATATATATGTATTGATTGACATTTATGCTTAACTCATAAGAAAGTTTGAGAATATTGAATACATTTCTCATTATTGGTGTTCTTGGCATGGTGTCATGTGGTTAATATCTGATCCAATATATAGTATATAGCCTCATATACCTTTTATGTGATTGCATGTTGTAATTCTGGTGTTCATAATAGGTACCTGAATGAGCAAGTAGCACTGAAGCAGAAATCAGAGTCCTCGAGTGGTGTATATGTATTCTCTGATATGAATCCTTATGTTGGACATCCTAATCCTCTGAAAGAAGGGCAAGAATTGTTTCGCAAGGGGCTCTTAAGTGAAGCAGTACTGGCTTTGGAGGCGGAGGTTCTGAAGAACCCTGACAACGCTGAGGGTTGGAGGTTACTTGGCATAGCACATGCTGAGAATGACGATGATCAACAGGTTAAAATTGTTTTTGCTTGTTCCTTGAATTTCTTGCCAACCAAACTCACTTATAATCTATTTATTTCTCCATCTTGGTTTTTGTTGGATTACAATTATGCTTCTTTTTATATATGACGTTTTATTGCTTGCATGTTCAAGGTGTTATAATTACAGATATCATCCTTATAATAATTTCAGATGAAAGTCTTGCTGGTACTGTAGTTCCATTGAAACTCCAGTTTTTATTTACATTAATGGTGCACTGAGAATTGTCATTCTATTTTAGACTCTGAGGCATGGTAATAGAATCCCTATTCTTATTGAAAATCTGTTATGTCACAGGCTATTGCAGCCATGATGCGTGCACAGGAGGTTGATCCGACAAACTTGGAAGTACTTCTCGCTCTTGGCGTGAGTCATACAAATGGTTAGTAGTTACTCCATCAGTTCATGGAAGAAGAAAATCTGCTATGGTTCACCTAATTTTTTGGACTAGCTTTAGGCCTGTAATCATATGGTTATAAGAGTGTGGGGTGTGTGTGTGTGTACTCACACATATTTATGTATCTAGCTTTTTCATGTGTGTATATATTATATATAATGGATTTTCCTGTTTATTTTGGATCTCACAGATGTAATTATTTTTTGCCATTGTATATGGTCTATTTAATATCATTGAAAGCTGAATGGTTTGTTGGTGTTTGTAAAATTCTCAGAGTTGGAACAAGCAGCTGCATTGAAGTACCTGTACAGTTGGCTACGCCATCACCCGAAGTACAGGACCATCACATCTGCAGATCAGCCTGATAATATCTATTATGCTGATGTATGGGTCCTTCCGACTACTCTTTTGTGCAAACACGGGCATCCATCCGTGTAGATTGATCATGTCATTTACGTCTATGGTCTAATCTAAATTATCTAATTGATTGCTATTACAATGATAAAGTTTTCCATGAACTGCTAACGTCTGGGATCTGTTTCAATGATCATTGTTTGTTGATTAACTGGCATTATATTTATTTATTTTCCTTTAAATTCTGATCGCTCATTCGCAGATTGGTTTGAGGCGTGCAGGTTGCTAGATTGTTTAATGATGCAGCCAAAATATCACCTGATGATGCTGACGTACACATAGTACTTGGAGTCCTGTACAACTTATCCAAAGAATATGACAGAGCTATTGAGGCTTTCCAGGCAGCTTTAAAACTCAAACCGCGAGATTATTCACTCTGGAATAAGCTTGGTGCAACCCAAGCTAATAGTGTTCAGAGTGCTGATGCAATTTTGGCCTATCAACAGGTTAAATGCTCGTCCCTTTACAATGATATGGGTCACCGAGTTGGATCTGGCAGGAAGTATTCATGCCAAAATGCACCAGAAACAATCGCTAACTTGTGCTATTTGTAGATAAATAGGTAGCCCGCTGATGAAAAACTATAAATGATGACACCTAATACTCATTTGCTAGTTCCCCACATTGAATCCAACCAAGTTTATGTAGATGAATTATGCATAACACCAGTAATGGAAAATCGTTCAAAAATGGTAATGTTAATTTTTACTCAACTCGGATAATGTGGACTCCTTTGCAATGTGAAAGAGCACAAAGAATTCATTGCCTGGGAAAAAAAAGTGAGATTCTATTGACTGTAACGTTTCGATTGATGTTTCTAGTAATTTTTTATTGATTTTGCTATGCATGATCATCCGAGTTGGATTCTATTCGATTGTATCTGACTTCTCTTCATGATATATTGCACTTCCACTTCCACTTCCACTTCCACTTCATAGTTTATTACTTGCTTCTCAGGCTCTTGATTTAAAGCCTAATTACGTACGTGCATGGGCAAACATGGGAATCAGCTATGCTAACCAGGTAAAAAACAATGTTTGGCATTTATTTAATTACAGCATAGTGCATAAATCGCAACAAATTGTGTGCTTATAAGCTGTCGTATTTATGAGGACATATAACTAAGAAGTGTAAGTATCTGGCAGCATTAGCAGAAGAAACAAAAGGATACAGATTGAGAATACAAAAAACAGTAACACATAAATGTTGATGGTTCACTTTACAAAATATAGGAAGTTGGATTCATGATGAGGAGGGTCAGATATTATTCAACTTGCAGTCAATTAGGCAGTATATATGCTTGCTGTAGAGGCATTCTGCTTAGTACTTTGCAAATTATGGTCTTTTTCCCCTTCTTCATCATAGTAGTCTACAATGCAAAACTTGATCCTGCAATTCACAGTATGTTATTTGATTTTTCCTTTCTTAGCTGTGTATCTTGCACGCCTGAGTGACAAAATTGACCTGAATTGGTTACCCATTCTTTCAGAACTATGGTGAATCCTCACATCAGTTGTGTTCACACATTTGTGTAGTTTAGGTCCTCTTTCTTTCTACGTGCTTGTCTTAATTTGATCTTTGCATACCCTTAGTGCTAAGTAATGTTTACAATCTTAGATTTGGCTTCAAAAATTTCTCTTTCATTCATGACGCTTATAAACTTCATAAGCTGTGACCTTCGTAACTTTCTTGAAACTTACATCTTTTGCTCATAAAACCTAGTCGATTATAATACTTCCTGCTGCATGAAAAGTACAACTTATTTTCTGTGGTGTGGGATTAATTGAGAATGTTTACACATTCTTATTCACTCAGGGTATGTACGAGGACTCTATACGTTACTATGTCCGGGCACTCTCTATGAATCCGAAGGCAGATAATGCCTGGCAGTATTTGAGAATCGCTTTGAGGTACCTTCTATCAAATAACAGTGATGTTTTATTGTGTCCATGCTAATTGATCGCCACTAATTTCTGCTCTTTTTTTTTTTTTTTTAGCTTTGCTTCCCGGAACGATATGCTGGAAGCTTGTGACTCAAGGAATCTTGATTTTCTCCAGAAAGAGTTCCCGCTGTGATATAATCTTGTGATCCTGCTGACAGAAGACCTAAGCCAGGTAGCTCGATTCTCTTGTTGGGCAGAACCCGACACTTGATTTGAAATTTGGATATCCCTTTTCTGCTACCCGAGTGAATTCACTATTTCTGCGTACTGATTAGTTTCAGCCTCAAGAAAATGAAGATCAACTAATTCGAATCATTGTTATGTAAAGTTTGACTGTAATATTATTGAGCTCGTACTGGACTCTTGAGATGGTGTATGGTTTTTGGTGTCATGTGGGACAATCACAGTCCTATTGTACATTGAGGAGAAAATAAAAATAGGAAAAAGTGATGCATGTTCTCCTTGCATTGCATTGATAATAAATATAATGAAGTTGGCATTTGATAATCTTGTTTAGTAGAGGATGGAGCTAATCCAGTTTATTGTATAATGTCATTGCTATTTTTCGGACATCTTGATCTATCATACTTCATATTTGGCATGCTATTTCTAAGTGCAGCACAACAATTGACTGGAATCTGAAACTATATTCCAACTATTTAGTCAGTTGTGCACCTGTATTACAAAATCTCCAAAATTGTCTAGTATTACAAAGTCTCCAAAATTGTCTTGAGTTTAATACATCAAATGACCCGGCAATAGCTTAAAAGAAATATTCTGAGATGACCACGCCAAGATTTTATGCAATTGAGAGAGCACAATGCACATTCGTCAAGAGTTGAGTAGCAACGAAATCCGAAGAGGATGAAAATATTACAGAGAAAACAAAAATGTATACTTTCTATTTCCCTATTAGGAGTATAACAAACATATTAGAACGGTGAACAACTTTTCCGGCCCCAATCACCGTGTTGTAAATTTTACTGCCATCAGATTTGTTTAGGAGGCAATCTTTGAGAAAAATGGCTTTATCTTGCAGCAAAAATGACACATTGCACTTTATTCGACATCGTCATAACCACTTTCTCCAACTCACTGATCTTTTCTCAAAAGACAAGAACCTCGGAAGACTAAGTAAACTATTGACACGAGTAACACCTTCAAGGGCTGACCATTCATCGTCCTCTGCAATCAAAAGGCACTCGGCTAGGCTCCTCTTTGACTGATCATGAATCCTTCCTAGTAGCTTCTCCTCCACTGGCTCGATTACAGACTCTATCTCGCTTGACTCTTTTACAATATCTGAATGTACAACGAGATCAGCATGAGAAGCTACAATGTCAATATTTGAGCAATTGTTACCTCCTTCTTTAGGGACTTTCATTTCTTCTTCAGAGTCTGTAGTGATAATATTTTCTGCTTTAGCCACATTAGACCTGGATTCTTGAACATTATCTAAATGTACAGGAAGATCAACACGAGACAGTACAACATCAATATTTGAGCCCTCAATGCCCCCTTCTTCAGGGACCTTCGTTTCCACTTCCAGGTCTGTGATATTATTTTGTGCTTTAGACACATTCGCCCCGGATACTTGTTGCAGGAAGAGACATACAACGGCACAGTCATCGTTCTTTGATGTCGGGTACTTGAGCCTCCATGCTCTAGTAGCGCAGTCGACAAGAGCTCTGGCAGCTGTTGGACCAGGAGCCGAGGCGACAATGTCCACGGCTTCCTTGTTGGAGAGGACATCCCATACCTGTGTCAAAATAAAAGTTAAAGACTGCCAGCTTAGGGGGAAGCTATACAAACTAGAATCATCTTAAATCAAGACATCATTACCTAAAAAGCAAAAGTGAGCAAGAGACCAAGGTGAATTCTACTATAATAGAAGAGAGAATTTCTGAGGGTAAGTTTATTTGTTTACTTTCCCTGTTCCCTAACCCGTATGGGATAACACGTGGCATCATTAAAATCCCAAGGGTAAAAAGCAAAATATGTCGGGAGATACCATATACACAAACAAAGGCAATCCTAAAAACGGGTCCAATACCAATACACCAAACACAAAACCATAGTGAGAAGCATGCTTTGGATTAAACTACAGGTGAAAATTTGATAACAAAACTGAGAAAATACCCCATCAGTGGCTAGAACAACAAACTCGTCTCCCATAGTGATGTGGTGGTAATAAACATCTGGGATAGAAATTAAACCAAAATCTTTCAAACAAAAGTCACCAAAAGCTCGGGCCATCGCCAAACCAGGTGAATTGCTATTGGGCAACCACACACGTGCAACTTCTGGCTCATCTTGCAATGCGAAAACCCTTCCTTTACATTTCTGGATCCTTGCAGCTTCTCCTGCAAAAGGAAAAGAGGAGTAATTTTTTTTTTTTTGCTGTGACTACTGAAGTGGAACTCCCCTTTCCTTTTACTTAGTACTTTTCATGCCAGGAAGCCAGAATGTGACTTATCTTAAAAATCAAGTTTCTACTGCTTTAATCCTTTATATCGTTAGTGGCTCTGTATGCATAAAAGTAAGAGAAGACAAGTTAGAGAAAGATACTTGGAAGATTGGGTTTCAAATCTACAGTCAACTGCACAGCCATCAAAGAATTGTCTCCATCTCTTGTTGCTAATACTGCTCTTGAGTCACCAATGTTTCCAATTATGAGATCCCGATCCTGGAAAATCATGTTCCTAATTTAGTACGATCATTTAACAATGTTTTAAGTCCTCTGTAGCATAAAAAACCAACTAGTAAACGTATATTCTCATAGACCACGAAATATTTCAGAAATCACAACATATGTTAACACCGTTGCTAGAGTGAGCTAAGGGGGCCAGCAGAGACTAGGATAAGGAGGAGGAAATGAGGAGATTGGTCGCTGGTCTTATATTATTTTTTCTATTGCAACCCTTCTCCTTTACGCGGGCTACACATGTAGATCTCACTATTGTAGATAGTTTGGTATGCCCCATAACTCAAGATGTTAAAACTCTAGGTGTTTCAAGTCATAGAAGCATATGATGCTAAGATGACATCATGGTGATACTATCTGTGAAATGAATCTTAAAAAGACAAAATGATTTGACTGCCCTAAAAACAGGTATTTGATGCTTTTGAATAAGTCCTAGCAGCATGCTTTTATGCACAATAATTCAATTCAATCTAGGGATCAACGCGTTTACAACTCTGGTTAGCAATTTTGTTAAAAAGGTAAAAGGATAAAAGGACGCCACATTTTCTGTTGTTGGATGTTGTAGAACAAACGAGAAAACGTACAAGGAAATCAAAAGGAACATAATTTTTTTACACAAAGTATACCTGCATTATCAAAGTAACGGCAGTTGTACCACTACAGAAACAATCAATGGTTGACTGCAACTTCAGTTCCTTATCCATTAACTTGAAAGCCTTCAATATTGACCTCTTAAGCGGCATATGCATCTCAGGGAGTTTCTCATTGTCGCCAACTTCAATTGAATCAACTTCAAAACGAATCATTCCTGCATGGTTTCCCTTCTCACCGACAGAAATTTGTTTGCCATCGGATTTGGCTTCCCACTCTTCACGCAGCAAGAGAGGAAGAGTATCCCGAACTTTCCTTGCAACCATATGACCAAAAGGACCATGACCATCAAACACACCGCAAAATATTGCATTTGTGTTGCTTCTTGTACAAAAGTTCTATAATAAAGACATTCGAAGGCAAGTTATAAACTGACCCAAATGGACAAAAAATTTATCAGTATTTTTTTCCAATCATAACCTAAAATTACTTCATCTTACAAATTAATTTGAATTTGAGGATACTATCTTAGGAGTTGCCACTATTTTCATATTATTATTTCTCCGCTATCATGAAACATTAATCCCAAAATACATACAAAAAAATGTGTACATAGATATATAATTGTGTGTGTATAATCTATTTGCAAACAAACTGACCTCCCAAACGATCATGGCGTCTTGATTGGTTCCTTTCTTCCCTTGCTGAGTGTATAGGCAGGCGATGCCGTTTGCGCCATTGGAGAAAAGCCTGCCCTGAATCTGGTGCAGCGCCCGCTCCTCCGCGGCTGCGACAGCCGCGCCACCTCCACTTAACTTGCTAATAAATGCTGCAAAATCACCTGACCTACTCTTTTTCGACTTCAAATTTATCTTCTTATCATACTCATTTTCAGCCTCTCTCTTATTATCTATCTTCGAATAACAAATGCCCATCACACCAGATTTTTTTTTCTACAATTTTTTTCAGCTTTTAATCGATCAAATTAATGCTGTTTGTTGAGTTTTTCTCCTGCTCAAATGAAAAGCANTTTAATTATTTTAGTAAAAAAAAATCAAAAAAAAAAAAGAAAAAAAATAAAAAAAAAAAAAAAAAAAAAAAGGGAAAATAGCTAACGGTAGAAAGAGAGAGGCCTAGAGAGAGAAATGGCAAGATCCAGGTGAGCAAGGAGTGAGTAGGTATGTATGTTATGACTTTCCTTTACGTATTATTAATTTTATCTTCGTTTATTTTTGTTGGGTACCGTTTGAATTGAATGTAAGTTGTCCAATGCCAACGAGGCAACCCTGTCGTTCCTGAATTATGATTAAAACATTGTCACTTTTGTCGGATTTTGACCGATACAGTAATAAAAGTGTGGGGGATAGTAAATAATTGGGGAGGTGCTACAAGCACGTTAAGGGTGCCATAATGTGCCTCTCCAATGGTGGGGTGTCATGTGTCCATTATAAATACCATTATGACACGTCTAATGTACAAGAAGAATTATCCAATAATTGGATATAAAAGTTAACTATATTTTAATCGGTTCAATGAAAAAATCTTACGGGACATTATGTCGACAAATGATTGGATGAAAAAGTTAACTATATTTTAAATAATCCAATGAAAGAATTTCACGTGACATTGTCCAATGGTGGGGTGCCATGTGTGATGTGTCCATTATGGACACCATTATGACACCCCTAATGTACAAGAAGAATTATCCAATAATTGGATATAACTATATTTTAATCGGTTCAATGAAAAAATCTTACGGGACATTATGTCGACAAATGATTGGATGGAAAAGTTAACTATATTTTAAATAATCCAATGAAAGAATTTCACGTGACATTGTCCAATGGTGGGGTGCCATGTATCCATTATGGACACCATTATGACACCCTTAATGTACAAGAAGAATTATCCAATAATTGGACTATATTTTAATCGGTTCAATGAAAAAATGTTACGTGACATGTCGACAAATGATTGGATGAAAAAATTAACTATATTTTAAATAATCTAATGAAACAATTTCACGTGATATTGTGTCAACATATGTTGAATAATACTATGATTGATGATTAAATGAGAGTTTCTTTCTTTCTATTTTTTTTTCCTTCTTTCTATGAACAATGATATGCTGTGTGTACAAATGAGTTTTATAAGAAAATATACAGAATTTCATTTGTCATTTCTGCACCCATAAAATTTCTTGTGCATTTTCTCTGTACAAATGATAAAATCCTTTTTTTAATATATTTTAGAACAAATAGTTAAACAAAAAATTACGTTTAAAAACACAATTAGGGCACTAGAATTTAATTAGCAAGTAGATGAACAAAAATACTACCGAATGACCATACTACTTTTCATAAGTTTTTTTATACGCTAGAACATGTTATTCAATAATTATTTTATTAAAATGCATGATCAATGTTTGAAACAAAAAAAAAATTTATTGCATGCATACGTTATTTTTTTATTTTTAATTTTGGTACAAGTTTGTCATTGTTAACGTTTTTCGTTTTGGCCATGTTAGTCAAACAAATTTTCTAAAATTAAGCTATTTATACAATCTTTGTTGACAACCTTCGTGTTGTCAAAATTCGGGCTGTTAATTTAAAAAATAAATTTTAACAATATTTAAAATGAATTAATGTAATGTTGTCAAGTGTGAAGTTTTCAATCAAGATAGTTAACCAATATTTTACAAGTAGCACGATTCATTTTTTTTTAATATATATTGGCTTAACCAATGACAAATATTCATCTTAAAAGTTTAAATTTATAGGGATATTCCCAACTAAAATTTTAATGAATTTTTAAAAATTATAAATTTAATGAATTTCGTGAATTTGAACATATTTTCACAGAATTCATGAGAATCCCATTAAAATGGTAAAATTAGTTTGTTGTGTATATTTTTAAACCTGAAATCCATCTAAGTTTCTTGAAATCCTTTTATTAACGAAATTCTTATAAATTCACGAGTTATTGAGAATATTTAAATTTTAATGAATTTTTAATAAAATTCATTAAAATCTCAATTGAGAGAACACATGAATTTGAATGATTTTTAAAATTTATTAAGATCTTAGTTAAGGACACTCATATGAGCAGTGTTCTAAAATGCGTAATGCGTTGCGATGCATCGAGGTCGAGAATCAATAATCACAAATTTAGGCATGTCAATGCGATGAATAAGCGCCATGATGTGTTTCGTATTTTTAAGGTATTAAATATATTTTTATATAAAAAAAAATTAGATAAAAATTATATAGTATTTTTAAATAAATTAAAAAAAAAAGGATTAGGTGCGCATTATTCCCGCCTTTTAGATGGAAAATGCATTTTTCGCGCATTTTCCAAATTCGACGCTTTTTCGACCCGCGTCGCACCTAGGCTCGGCACATTTTAGAACATGGCACATGAGTTTATTTTATAAAATATGATTTTTAAAAAAGTAATTTTTAACGGTGTTTATTGATGCAATAGTACTACAAAGCAACCGTTTTTTGAATGACTCGCTACGCAAAGACGTGATTGGATGACGATAGTACTTTATATAAGTTAAAGTTGGCTAATGAAATTGCTTGGCTTATGTTTGGTCGGTGATTATTATTTATTAAAATTATAAATATATAGAAATGAGTGATAGATGAATATGTAATATTTATATGTATCGGGAAATGTATATATAAAAAGCAAGTTTGACCCAAAATGATTAAAAAGAAACATCCACCAAACATTGTAATAAAGACCATTGTAAAACAAACTTTGAAAATACGATTGCAAACTGCTTTGTTGTTATTATAGGCCTTTACGAATCGGTTCTGAAAATACGATGAATTGCACAATTCATTTGTAGAGTTTTATACATTGAAAGACGACTTCTTATAAATAGGTTTTAAACAGTTGATTTTATTAAGGACAATATTACATGTATATTCATTTTTTCACCTAATATTTTACCTATACTCATAATAGGGTGTGAGGACGACACATTTGTGGATTTTTTATTTATGCGAGCACCTCACGCATGTGAAAGGGTGTAACATTTTCGGTACAAAAAATTCGGCACAAATGGAATTGTCCTTTAATTAATTAATGTGTTTGTAACAAAGTTGTAGTCCTGAAAATGTACATACTAATTCTTCTAGTTATAACTTCATGAAGATTGTAATATATCATTAATAATAAGATAATAATGCCATCAAATTAAGATCAATACCTTGGATTAGAGGTCACACAATGAAACTTTCCAAAGCGGGTGGACAATGATTGTAGCTTTGGCCCTAGACATGCCCAATTGCTCATTGCATGATTACTCAAGTTCTGTTGGAAAGGACATAAAAACTAAAAAAAATAGACTCTTGATTAGGATTTCTACTTTTTTTTTCCCATACTTTTGAAAAAATAGTTAAAGAAAAAACTACATTTAAACACAATTAGAATTTATTTGATTGGACTTTTGAAAAATAAAAAATTATTCTTGAAATTAGGGAGCTAATTTTGAACTTATTTAGATAATTTTTTTTAAGTATTTCATCGCATTATAAGAGCTTTTAAAGGATACCGAGGCTCGTTAACACACCTTCTGTTTTTTCTTCTTGTAAAAAGTTTTCTCAAAAAAGTTATCGATTACTTCCTCTAAAAAATTTTCTAGCAAGACAAAACACTTTCAAAAAATTATTCAAACAGTTTAAAAGTAACTTCCTGATGTCCAAAATAATTTTCGACTTTTCAAAAGTCTTGCCAAACAGGCCTTGACCCAAGATAATTTCCACTGTAAGTTCTTCTACAAGAAGTAAATACAGAAACAAAAATTCTACCAAATGAACTCTTACTACTATTCAATTGTTTTTTATATGCTAGAACATGTTATTCAATAATTATTTTATTAAAATGCATGATCAATGTTTGAAAAAAAAAAAAATTATTGCATGCATACGTTTTGTTTTGTTCTTTTGTTTTTTTGTTTTTGTAATAAGTTTGTCGATTTTAACGTGTCAAACTTATATATTGGACTGGCCAATGACAAATATTCGTTATCAAATATGATTTTAACTTCTTGAAATAATTTTCAAGGGTGTGAACCGATACCATAATATTACATAGCAATCATTTTGTGAATGACTTGCTACAGAAAGAGAAATACGTGACTTGAAGAGGATAGTTTATAGTTAAGGTTGGCTAATGAAGTTGCTTAGGGTAGGTTTGATACGTGATTATAAACGATTTAAATTATAAAATATAGATAGAAATGAGTATGAATAAATATGTAATATTTATAAATCGTACAAAATGTATGGATAAAAAGTAAGTTTGATCAGAGTGATTGAAAAGGAACACCTACCAAACATTGTAATATAGAGCATTGAAAATCAGCTTTGAAATTACGATTGCAAACTTCTTTGTTGTTAAGATAACCATTACAAAATCAGTTTTGAAAATCCGATGAATTGTACAATTTTTATTCACTCGTAGAGTTGTAAACATTGATTGGCGCCATCTTATAAATAGGTTTAAACGTTAATTCTATCCATGTGTTTGTAACAAAGTTGTGATCATGAAAATGTATATACTAATTCTTCTAGTTATGAATTCATGAGGATATTAATATATCATTAATACCATTTTCTCATTGAACGAAGGGTAAGAAATCAATCAAATTGATTTTTCGATCAAAAGTAATATGTGAAATCTTTGGTTTGATAAGACAATAATGCCATTAAATTAAGATTATTAACTTGGATTTGAGGTCACACAATGAAACCTTCTAAAGGGGACGGTCAATGATTGTACATTTGGTCCTAGCCATGATCAATCGCCATTGTAAGATGATTACTCTCAAGTTTAGTTGAAAAGGACATAAAAACTAACATACTCTCTTGATTAGGATATTCTTGTTCAATATTTCTCTCTTTATTGTATTCAATAAAATTGA